AATTCGCCTAAAAAAAAACAACACAACAGCCATGGGCTGTTCGGGTTGGTTCTGCAGCGTCCTGTAAAGGATACGCAACTAACTAACCAACCAATTGAATATTACGCATATCAGAGAGATTTTTTTTTTTAAACATGTTGTAATCGCAAGCTTCAGGTGTTAATTCTGTGGACTACAATCCTGGAGGGGGAAATTACAAGCAACAGACACAACGCTTTAGCGGCTCTTATCTCGCTGCAAGAATGAAGGGATGAGTTTCTCTTCTTCTTCGCGTTTACCGGATGTAAACACCGGTGGGAAGATCTAGGCTTTATCCTTGTTCTCCACTTCCTTTCCATCCACGGAGTACGGAACAATAGCCTCTTTAGTGTTTGTGTTTTTACGACAGAAGAGCGACATCCGCTGTCGCATCTGCGAACACAAAATGTGGTCATGTTCCCGAGTACGGATTATTGATAAAAATAAATTCAGTTGTTGCAACTAGCGCTTGCTGTTCAGACGACAGCATATACAAGGTATAGTCATATGTAAGCCTGTTTCTTTATCTCTGTCATAGCCAGTAGTAGTTTTACAATTGGCCCCTTCCATGAAGTTCAGACCTGTTATTTAAATTTATGTTAGTATTTAATTTAGTATGATTTGGGTTTATCAACAATCTTCACGACACTCTGGACATGTCTATTGAACTTTTGTTTGTGCTCAGATTCCCCCTTCAGCATGCATATGGTGATATAGTATACATCAGCGTCCCGCGGTTGATAGTCCCAATCCTATGTTGGTTGATAATTCTCGTGCCTAGCTGTGCCGATCTTTACTACCAGTTTTTGCCTCTTATCAAAGATGTGAATGTGGCTGCTCCCCTCCTCCCAAATCCTCTGATGACCTACCTTAGGTACTTTAGTCAAATTTTCAAAATGCCCTCTACTCTCTACACTAATAAAACCAGCACAGTTAGTTCCAACGGTACCTCATTTAGGCTTGTATGTCATTTTTGAGCTGAGATTTAATGATTTGTAGGTTTTTGTGGAGATGAGATGTAAAAAACAGCTGTTAAAAACTTGTGTCCCAGAAACAAGAAGTTTTCTCTGCACAACCAAACTTGCGCACTTTCGTTTTAGCTTTGTTTACATTGGACAAGATGGCAGACAATTTTTTTTCAGACACAGCGATTGCCTGAAAAATGTCACTGTAAATCCAAAAAGCCACTCATAAGAAAGACATTTTATATACAAACTAGCTGTACCCGGCCACGCGTTGCTGTGGCATAGTTTGGCTAAATGGAAATGAAAGAAAATAGAAAACGCACGTGTCTAATACAATCATTGTCTGCTCAGATATAGAGATAGTTTTTGATCCCCGCCCACCACCACAACTAAATCCACCTACTACTATCTCCCTCATCAAAGGTTTTTGGAAAAGAAAGACAATGGAAATCGCGCGTGTCTAATACAGTTAATGTCGCAATCATTCTCTGCACGGATATAGCGATAGTCTGGTTTTCCAACTTTAGAACACGCAGCCTTATAATTGTGTTTTTATATTAGTGGTCGTTTAAATGGTGTTATTAGCACAGTAACAAAAATGGTTATTTGGTTATCACATGCTAAAGCTGTTTGTATTTTTATAGTGGACGGAAGTAAAGCTACAACTGTACTTGTGAATAACAAAGTAAGTCGTAAAAAATAGAAAAGCGGAGGTAGCGTTAGTAAAATATAAACAAATTAGGCAATGAGAACTTGAAAATCAAGTGTAAAGCTCTTTAATTTCTCTTAAATTTAAGTCATTACCCCCTCCCCTCTTCCGCCGATTCCACCGACTACTGCTCTCTCCCTCTTCGAAGGATTTGAAAATCACTAACTGGCGAAATTTTGTTGTTGCTGTAACTGACATTGACATCCCTGTCCATCTGGACTAAAATCGGGAGCAGGAATTGTAAAAGGTAGTGAATAGGGCTAGGGTAATATTTACCACATCATCCTTCAAGTACCAGTACAACTACTAAAATAATGTCACTGATATCTGTTGTTTACCATCATGAGTAGACAGAGAGTCGTGAGCCAGAAGATTTGGTTCCGCATAGGCTAGTGCTGTCGCCACAGACTGGTCAGGTTAGGATGTATAATTTCACTTGCCGACAGAAGAAACGCCATAAACAACCTTACTCGCGCGGTCTTCACATGAGAGCACTATGATGTAACAGCCCTGGTGTAACAACTATTACTGCTGCTGCTACTTTAAGTGGGTAAAGCAGTTACTGTGACTTAAAAACTCTCTCAGTAATAGTTTGCCCCCCCCCCCCCCCCCCATAAATTCACCGACAACTCTTTCCCCTCATTGAAGTAGTTGGAGAAAGAAAAAAAAACTTGAAAAGCAAACGAACACAGGAAAAAAAACCATATTAGGAAATGAACGCCATTGTGAAACAGCACAGCTTAAAATTCCAACACAGATTAAATAACTAAATCTAAATAAATGAAAATCTATAAAATTTCAGCGTAACCATGCAATCGGAAAGTTTTAACAATGCAATCAAGAGTATGCGAAATGGTCAAATTTTAATTATCAAATGGTTTACCCCATTTGCTTGTTTTTTTTTTTTTTTTTTATATTAAGGGCAACATGGCTAGTGCTGTCACCACGGCAGAGCAGATGAGGATATTATTTTAGTCCGGGGTGAAAAAAAAAAAAAAAAATTTTAACGACTGCGGATTCGAACCCAGGTCTACCGCACATGAACCCAGTGTTCTAACCATTCGACCAAGCAACCATTTAATCGGAACAACGAAAAGAGAACTCAACTATTAGACATGTGAGTCCATACTACTGTGTCGCGATTAAAACACAATTCAAAACCGCAGGCAATTGTTTTCTCGTAGACAGATACTCCAGATATATTAATGAAATAGAAATCGCACGTGTCTAACACGGTTATTGTCGCAGTCACTGTCTGCGCCGACGTCGAGATAGTCCTTCTTGATTGCTCCCCCCCCCTCCCCCATCGAAGGTTGTTTAAAAAAAAAACAGAAAATAGAAATCGTGTTTAATATGGTTATTGTGGCAAATATAGAGATAGTCTTGTTTGCTGTACCACGACCTACTCTATGTATTAGAATTAGAGAAGGCGTTGGCTGCACGTAACTCGCCGGCGAATGGTAAATACGGCGCATGCGCAATTACTAACGTGGCTATAATTAGAAATCACTAAAGTTATAAATATTAGTTGCGTATATTTTGGCATATATTGTGGTCACCTATCTCTAACAGTGACAGGTTGAATTTCAAACCACGACAGTTCAAAATCCGGTATCACAACAAACATATCCTGAAAATTTCAGCTAAATCGGTTCAGTAGTTTCCGAGTCTATAGGGGTGAAACAAACACACAAACATTGATTTTTATATATGTAAAATTGGACGGAGAATTCAATTATAACTAGCATTACCAAGACAAGTAATGTTAAAGCCTAAAGCCAACCTTGAATACAGAGGACGTCTGGCTGTCGTAGACATGCGCTGTTAATCGGGTTCGTTCCTGCCGTTTTCAGCTATTTATAGCTGGTGAAAATCACACCAATCGCAAAATTTAATGAGTGATTAGGACCCATCCCGAAACCAGCCGACATTTCCCAAACAAGTTTCGAACGGTTTCCAGGGTAACGGCAATTGCAAAAAAAAAAACCCGCAAATTGCCGAACACCGTGGTCTCTAGTCCTACCTCTCTAATGAAATGCAATGGCATTTTTAACAATGTCTGCATGATCCATGGGCCAGCCCTCTGTAACTAAGGTAGGGCCGGCGAATCTGTCTGTTTTTTTTTCATTGCCAACATCACCATCGTGCAGTGGGACAAAGATAAAGGTAACTCCACGCTCAGTGGAGTTTTGCAGTGACTCTAATTGTGACAGCAGACCGTCCAGAAAGCAATGGCAAACTACTGGACGTAAATTTGCCTAGTGAAACCACACAACAGCCAGGGGCTGATAGGGTTGGTTCTGCAACGTCCTGTAAAGGATACGCAACTAACCCACTTGTGACAGTGACTTGATCCACTGACTCATCTGTGTCATCATCAGTTCTCGTTATGCCTAGTGGCACATGAGGCTTCAGAGAGGACTTTCCATGCTTTCCTGTCATGTGCAATCTTCAGTGCAGTTTTCCATGTCAGAGATGCTACACTCAGGTCACTTTCCATCGTTCGTCTCCATGTTGTTTTTGGGCGCCCCTGTTTTCTTTTTCCCTCTGGTGTCCATGTGAGAGCTGTTTTGGTGGGTATATCAGGATTCATTCTCATAACTTGGCCAAGCCATTTCCATCTTCTCTTGATTATCATACTGTCTAAAGTTTCTTGGTTTGTGACTTGAAGTAGTTTAGTGTTTGAGATTGTATCTGGCCAGAAAATTTGTGTAGATCAGTACATCCGACTCATCTGAATTTTCACATATAAGCGCATGGATCTCTACATTGACAGCAACTCGATTCTGCCATCGACAGCTCATATCAAGCGTGGCAACTCAGGAAAAGATGCAGATGAGTTGAGTACCTAGGGCACAAGTATCCATTCTTCACCGAGGTCGATGTTTTTAACACTGCAGACCTGTATGATATCATCCTCTGCCCTACTGAGCCACGATTTGCCCTCTTTTTAGCCTGTTGCCCTTTTTCCTAAAGAGAACATTGTGCAGAGGCTGAGATGGTGCATTAAATCCGAGCTTATCTTAAAGTGTGCAAGAGTCCTCACCTCAAGATCTTCATCGTGTGGCGCATTGTCAGAAGGTATACGAGGCCTGTATAGGGCTGTGATACCATACCATTGTGTGTTTGTGGGGGGGGGGGGGGTTAGGTTTATGGTAAGTAAGTTACAGGACTGGGGCAAAGTTATGTGCAGGGTTGATTACTTTTATTGAAAACCGTGGTGTTGTTTCATTAATATTTCCCCTTTTATGTTTACAGTCACTTACACAAGATCTAAGTGAGGCGTGAAAGACAGACAAAAGACAGACATGGTAAAAGAACAGTTTAGGGAGACTGACCTGGCCAAGAAGATCAGCCATGTAACATTTGGCTTCATGAGCCCTGAGCAGATGCAGAGGGCCAGCCATCTACATGTAGTCAACAAAACTCTATACAGGTGAGCTTAAGGTTTACAGTCAAACAGCTGTAAGAGTAAGATGCTTCTGACAGCACTTTGTGCTAATGCAGTTTCCACATATGGACAGTAGTCTACGGTTTCTCTGTCTGAGCGATTGAGTATAGTGCTTGGTGCAGCCCTGTGAGCTGTGTTTTTCTTGTGGAATGCCTCTTATTTGTGCGCCAGTAGCTGGTTTATGTGTGACCTGGTGAAATACCTTATGTAATAATTCTTTATTTGGTATAACCAGCTTATTGTGCCTGACTTTCCATCAATGACAGACTGCATTTCTGGTGGTGACCGTTGGCTGTGGCACCTCTAGCAACTGCCATATGCATTTACTGCGTGCACATATTTCTGAATTGTCCTGGACTAAATGTAACCAGTTTTTCACATGGGACAATGAGGGACATTTTGTTTGATTTTTCACTGGCAAAGGAATGGAACAAGTATGTGTTCACCCGAATGCAGTGAAGTTGAAACCTCAGCTAAGACTAAAACACTTGTAAGAAAGATGCACATTTTTCTTTTTCGGGGTTCCAAAAGTGGGTGAAAAGGTCAGACCACATATTTAAAAGATCGTCTGAGCTGCCCTGACAAATATTCTCTCTTGTGGCTACTAGATAGGAATATGTTATCTCCCACTCCGTGATCTTTCTGTACACTTCTCATAATAATCTAGGCATAATATCTGGACCTCTAAGCCATGTTAAGGGATAATACTCTCCTGTGACTTCTTGACTCTCTTTGACTACTGGATGTCCTCGAACACAGGCTGTAGTGTGAAACTGTACCAGTTTCAAGGAATAACAAACGACCTGGTTCTTTTACCAGCATCAAGTTCTCTTAGAATAATCGCAGTTAATTTACATATCACAATGTCACCACTACTTCTAGCTGTACTATCACTACTTCAACTGTTTTGACTACTCTACCCCCATTTGGTATCACCAAACTGTTGTTGTCCAAACCGTCAGCTCAGATTGTTGGTTGACAACCACCTTCAATCTGCTCATAACCTGAAATTGTTTCCGTTACCTCACGTAGTTCACATGGCTTCTATGGTTTGTGTGTACACTGTGCTAATCATATACATTATGTTTTGCTGGCAGTCTTATGTTCACTATCAGCATCTGTGGCAGCTTTGATGAAAAAAGAACAGTCCCACTCTCCCTCCACTCCCCAACTAGCGTGTAAAAGTCTACTAATTAGGGGTGTTGCCTTGGAAGCCAGAGGATATCTGCCTGAATGTTGAATTAGGAATCAGCATCATAGCACTCGGGACACCGCCATAAGCATTCCATCCCTATCTTCAGGGGCAAGCAAAGAGTTATAATTCTGATGTAACCAGTAGCTGTCTGATTGTATATCTCTCTCTCTTGCTTTTCCCTGAGTGTTGAGCGTCTGCCAAATCACCTGATCACTCCTTTCCCTTCTCCTCAGACCGCAGTGCTCTATCTGTGCCTCCTCACTGTTCACTCGCTCATGATATCGAGCTTGTCATACATCAGTTCACCACTTGGCGATGCAGAGCCGGCCAGTTTAACCGCCTCCTCATTTCCCAATACACCAGAATAACCTGGATAAAATATCCAAAGGATGTAAACTACCGGGGTCCTCTGAAGTGATGCTTGCCACTCTGCCTGAAGCATGCCTGTCTCCACCTTTCTCAACATGCTCTGTGAGTCAGTTACAATCACAGCATGTGTGTACAGCTGATTCTGAAGCCAGCATACGGCAGCAGTGACTGCCTTTACCTCCATTCTCAAACTAGACATTGTGATATCATATGCAAGGCTTTGTTGCACTTAGTGACATCCATTCGCTTTTACTACCAACACCAATGCGCTTCACATGAACCCCCATGCACAGTCATCTGTATAGATCATATCTGCCTGAGAGGTGAGAAACCAGCAGTCTGCTTACAAATGAACCAGATCTGTGAAAACGGATGTGCATGCAAGGCTCTGGTATAATTGCCTTGTAAAATCGCCTAATAAAACAAAAAACAAAATTAAGGGTTCTGGTTCTTCAAAATCTTGTAAAGGATGTGCAGCTAACTTAAAAAAAATGTTGATGTAACTAGTAATGCACCTAGCAAGGTGCAGAGAAATACGCCAAGCAATAAATTGTGCTGTATATAATTTATATCTGCTTTATAGAAATTTAGTGTGGTAAAAAAATTGTTTTAAGTTGCCACCGAGTTGTCAAATCCATTTTTATCTTATGACATTTATATATAATTTTATTGCTGTTGCTTGCATGCAGTCAAGATGGCAAAAACAAACCTTGTCCCTATGGAGTGTTGGACCATAGGTTGGGTACAAGTGAGAAGGACAACAACTGTGATACTTGTGGCAAAGTTTTGGCTGACTGTGTTGGTCATTTTGGGTATGTGTTTTGTCAAGTTGTGTCTAATGTTTCATGGAAAAACTTGTGGAAATAACAGTGCAGTTTATATTATTAAGAGCTTCTGGGAATATGAGGTTAGGTCTATCAAATTTTATGAGAGTTGTCACTACTCAAGTAATCTTGTAGCAGGTCCTTGGCAGATCGTCGCTGTCATCACAGTCTGCCTGAAAGAATGTCTACTCTCTGGCCAGCTCTTCTACTTCATGTACTTTCCTAATCAAGATGTCACTTTATGCTGTGTCCTTTACGCTGGTTGGCCTCAGTCCCTCTTTATTAGTTCCATGCCTTCTGCAATTTTTTTTCCAATCCAACTTGCACTTGATATGACCTGAATATTTTAGTTTCCGAGATAAGATGCTCTTTACCAGATAATCTTCCTTGATGTGTCAGCTTTTCATTCATTCATTCAGTAGCATGTCCCTCGCGGAACCTCGCTGTCATAACAACCCTCCGGAAAACCTTCCTATCCTGAGCAAGATGTCCTGCGTCTGATACACCCATCTGGAGATCATCTGCCACATCCTGCACCCATCTTCTCCTTGGCCTTCCTCTTCCTCTCTTCCCAGGCATATACCCCTCCATTATTGTTCTCTCTAGACTTCCATGACGTTTCAAGTGACCAAAATATTTCAATTTTCTTTGTTTTATTGTCTTTACTAGCCAACCCTCTTCAATATTCAGCTCTTGAAGTATGGATGCATTTGTTCTTTTCTTTACCCAAGATATTCTTAGAACCTGTCTGTAACATTTATATTCAAATGCATTTATGCGCTGTTCCGCTTGTTTAGTAAGTGTGTTTAGCTTTTAGGATATCATTATTTCTTTTCTTCTTTGTCAATGGTTTTCTGAACATCTTTCTATAGCATTTCAGTTCAGAAGCACATATTCTCTTTCTTAAGGACTGCGAGATTGTCCATGTCTCATATCTGTATGTTGCTACAGGGAAGATGCATGCTCTCAGATTTTTAACTTTAATTTCCAGGTACTGAAGAGGTTTTTTTCCTTTAATTTAAAGCTATATTGACCTAGAAAAGCATCACAGAGGGGAGTTAGATGTTCTCAAGAGGTTTTTTCTTTAATTTAAAGCCAAATTGACCTAGAAAAGCATCACAGAGGGGGAGTTAGATGTAGTTTCCTGTCTTTTGCTAGCCGCAGAGATAGTGGTAATGTCAGACTGCGTTTCTTTAATGTCTTTTTTACTCTATTCACCCATCCCTTTCTTGGTCAGCCTCTTGACTTGTAGTCTATGGTTCTCTTGAGTACGTTCTAACTGCTGGCTAAATTGGTTCTATTCTGACTAGATGACCAGACCCTTCAACTGTTTGATGTTCTGGTACTGTGCCTACCATTGTTCCTAGTTCCTCATTGGTGACTGTCTCTTCTTGTTTTTCCTATACATCTCATCTCACATGTCATAATTTTGCATTTATGCTTTTCTAGGACTGTCCATGTCTTGCATTATTAGCGCAAAGTTGATACAATGAGCACATTTATAAACTGCTGTTTTGTCTGTGCGTTGAAGTTTTGTTGTCAGGATCTAGTAAAACCTCTTTCGCATATCAGCTTTAGAGAAGTGTTTGACATTTTTCAGTTGTACTGACTTACTTTGTTTGGCTATAAGTTATAAAATTTAGTCACCCACTCTGGGAGCCACCGCAGTTTAGTGGCTGCACTCTCACCTACATATTTTGATGCCTCAAAAGGGGCACTATTTGATACCCTAACACCATGCCTAATTTTTAGTTATGTTTTGGTCTTCCTCTGCCTCTCTTTCCTCTTATGATGTATTTATTTTTCCCTTCTCATGCATGCCAAAAGAATGTAGAGTATCCCCTTCTGGTGCAGATAATTAGCTCTCATTGTCAATAATGTTTTTTGAAGATAATCCTCTTATCATTTCTTTGCAACTACCACAACATTTAAAATTAATCCTCTGAATGCCTATAATTCATTTATTTCTTTTAACTACACAAATAATTTGACCTTTATGTTTTTTATTTTTTTTAAAGCTACATTGACCTTGACCTGCCAGTATACCATGTTGGCCACTTCCGTACCACAATCACAGTGCTTCAAATGATATGCAAATCATGCAGTGCCATCTTGCTACAGGAGGAGCAGAAAGAGTCCTTTCGGCATGCACTGAGGAAACCACACCTAACCTACCTGCATAAGAAAGCCTTGAGGAAAAAGATTTATGATGCCTGCCGCAAAGTGAAGACATGTCTTCGTTGTGGCGATCATAATGGAATGGTAAAATTATAGTTTTAATGTTATTGTTGTTACAGATTTAGCAGTTCCCCGTGTGAGTTCAGGGGCCCAGTTGTGGGGAGGAAAGGAGAATTGACCCCTCGCCCTCTTCCGAACAAACGTCATAAAAGTCTACTAGCTAAGGATATTTTCTTTCATAGTCAGCGTGAATCTGCCTGAGAAGCAAGGAACCAACTGTCTGCATATCAATATGCTGGATCTGTAAAACAGATATGCACTTAGAACTCAGCAGCTAGAACTTTCTGTGGAGTTTACTCCTGGTTAACATGAAAAAAAAGGATTAGCAGTGTTTGGCTTTTATCCTTAGTGCTGCAGAGGTGCGATAGGCATTTGGCAATAGACTCATATTTTGTTGTGAAGCCACGATAGGTAGTGCAGTGCCTAGGCTTGCCTGTCCGCCCAAAGTTCACAGTTTCAGATCTGCATCTAGGCAGCTTTTTGTAAACGACCTAAGTTCCCAAGTTGGTCCAGCCTAAAATGGGTGCCAGAAAATGATTTGGAAAGTAAAGGTGGCCAGCTTCTGCAAATGCCAATACAAGTTGTATTTTATTTTGTTTTAAGCACTTCTTCGATGTGTTTCCAGGTTTTCTTTGCTGTTTAAGCTCAGACCCAAGCGAGATATATCTTTTTTGCTTCGACCGGCCGCAAACTCGGGTGGAAAACTTTGGTTGTTCACCTACTTCTGATCTGGCTTTGTTTCAAAACTTGAGTTTGCATGCACATCCATTTTACAGTTCTCGCTTATTTGTATGCACATTGGTTCCCTGCATCTAGTCTAAGGCAGATGCACCCTGACTTAGAAGGAAGCACCCCTGTTTAGTCTCTTCAGCTTGAGACTTCATCCTTTAATTCACTGGTGCGGATATTTCAGCGATCCCTGAGTATTGTCACTGGAGCTAAGGATATGGAGTTGCTGTTTTCTGTAACGCTTTCAGCAGACGAGTAGCTACTCTGAGGGAAGAGATCAGGTTATCTAGGATGAAACCCAATGCGATAAAGCCTGTCCTCTCACCTTAAAAGAACAAACTGAACAGTTATAGATGTATTTATCTTTTTCTTCTGTGTACCTGTTCTGCCTTTCTGCATCAGGTTTTGAAGAGACATCAGGCGCAAGCCTTAGTATGTGCTACGCAGTAGAGGTAAAAAGTAGGGAGATGTGGATCAGCGTCATTGCACACGGTTATAAACCATAAGTGCTCTGCCACCAGTAAGGACAGCTGATAAACTGTCTGCCTGTGTCACCGTCCGCACAAAACTCCGTAGCTACAGCGACATTCCTCCATTTACCCCAGAGTGTTAACTCTGGTACCCATTTCCTAGAGGCTCGGTAAACCCGGAAACCACCTGGTTTTGAAAAGCGGCCGTAGGCTGCAGCGAGTCGCAGCTGGATTTGAAAGCGAGTCTCCTATCAACTGTGCTAATGCGCCCCCCTGGGTAGTTAGCAACCATCAGTCCCTGGGGACCATGGAGTTGTGCCACTGGTTTTGGGAACAGCGTCTGCTATAGCTGTAAGGTACAATGTGGGAGTGCTAATTAGGTTTTGGTATTTACGGCCACGGATGTTCCATATGTCCACTGTTTGCATCATCAACCTCTAGCTCTGCTTCCTTTATGTCTGTGTGACAGGGCTCTCTGTGGTGTACTGTCTGGTGGTAGTCTTGACACATGTCCAAACCATTTGATGTTCTTTGATGTAGTTTAGTGCTTGTTATATCAGCTTCTTTTCTGATGTCACCATTTCTGATTCTGTTTCTTCTCGTTACATTAGGATTCATTATAGACATTTCATTTATGTTCTTTTCAGTTTATTCATCATATAATAATCAAAAGTAACATATAAACAACATTTTTGTTTTATTTTATGGTACTTTCCTTTAGGTGAAAAAAGTTGGCCTATTCCGAATCGCACATGACCGTTCTCAGCAAGGGCGTAAAAATGAGGCAGTGCTCAAAGAAAGAGTGGAGGCCTTTGAATCGGCAGTTAAAGGAAACCCGGAGATATCTTCGCTGCTCGGCAAACCTTATGATGTACTGAACCCGCTGATTGTCCATGAGTTGTTCAAGAGAATTGATGACGGTGATATTCCCCTGCTGTTGATGAATCAAGAAGTTAGCCGTCCTGAAGATTTGATTTTGACTCGTATATTTGTACCCCCCATATGTATCCGGCCATCAGTTGTGTCAGATTTAAAGGTAAGCTCTTCCATTAAATTTGTTATTTTTCATGCATTGTTATTTATCCTGCACTACCTTGCTACTTCATAGCAAACAGATCACCCCATAATTGCTTAGTTTGTGTGCTAACAAAAACCACACAGAATGTCCATAACTGTCCCTTATAAAAAATGGACACAAACTGCAGTCTCTGCAAAGCCAGTAGCATACACCGGCGTTGAATGCATGAGGCAGCCATTAGAAGTGTTCACACAAACAGCCCAACACTAGAAATGCAGTTAATCATCGGTGAAAGCAGCAGTTACAACAGATCAGTAGTTGCACATGCAGTTAATCGCATAAGGCACCACCAGTGAGGAGAAGAAAACAATATCAGACAGGCACTGAAATTGGAAACAAGTGGGTTGAGGAAACAAGGACATCTAAATGAAGCCCAGAGATGAATGTTGATGAGAGAGGTCAGAGGTGCTTGTCTGGGTTCCATCTATGGTATGGAAACAATTGTTGCAGGATAGAAGGGGAAGAAAGAATAAACTGCCAGCCCAACAGGATGATGGTGTTAGTGAACTTAACATGCTATACAGATACAGTGCATTTATCTTATTAGAGATAATGGTTTGAAGAGCCTAATGTCGTACTGGCCTGAGTGCCAAATTTTAAAAAGTTAACTTAATTCTTTCTTTCACTTACTTTTTTTTTTAAACCAAACCCACATTTTCATAATGAGATGTTGCCTGTTTTTGTGTGTGTGGATACTATGGTAACTGTTTGTTACTTTTAGTCAGGGACAAATGAAGATGACATAACAATGAAGTTGACGGAAATAATGATGGTCAACCAGATCATCCAGCGGATCCGGCTAACGGGCGCCAAGATGCAGATGTACATGGAAGACTGGGACTACCTCCAGCTTCATGTGAGTACGACCTAAATAATGGTGGCTCTGAAAGTATTCATTGCGTGTTCATACTTTACATAAGCTTTGGGTCTGATACTACACTTTCTCCTGTAGTTCCTTTATACTGATAAAATCCTGTTTTGCTGTTGCTTTCTCAGTATTAACCCTTGTGGGTTCTGGGTCTTTATTGTGTCAAAATCAAGAAAAGACCCACTGTCTCCCTAGCAAGCATTTTGTTAGAGTTGAATAAGGGGGGGGGGGGGGAAGGTGGTGCATCTCCCTGACAATACATTCTGTTTGTATTCCAGATTCATAGATGATCTTTCACAGGCTCAACTTCACGTAGAAATGGTCAATTGAACCAGCTGACAGCTGTCAGACTCTGCATTAGTTAAAGATGGTCAGCCTATGGGTCGCACCAAATTGTCAATGCCCTTAGAGAAAGGGTGATCCGAGGATTTTGGGAGCAACATGTCCACATCACTGCTAAAAATACAAGAATTATGAGTACAGATAGGCTTAGCCAGACTTGAAAGGCACACTGGACATATAGGAGGTCTTGTTAACCAGCATAGGACTGGCACTGTTAACAGAGCGACACTGATGAATATGTTGAAGGTGGAATCTGAGCATCTGTGGATGTGTCCATAGTTATATGAAGATTTTGCAACTCAGTTATTCATTAAGCATCCATCTTGACACAAACAAATAGCCAGGTATTCATGGCTGCTGCAGGTTGCTTGGAAAGATTCAGTCTCAGACATACTGACTTACATTCATCCTTGCTTTTTGTGCCAGTTGGTTAGTCTTTCCTCTTGGGCATAGGGCAGAGGTCATAGCTCTCCTTGTCTGGCGGTTGCCACCTGCCTTAGGTCTTGGGTGTTTTTTAGGCTTATTTTTTAGCCTTCCTGATAATTGTTTAATGTAGAGTCTCTCTTGATCTTCCTCAATTTCTTTTCCCTTCTAGTAAATCATGAATATGTTCATTTAATTAATTGGTCGTTTGACATGTAATGATATTAATTCTTCACTTGCATATTTCTCTGACAGGCAGCTTTGCTTTACAACTCTGAGACTTCTGGGATCCCTCTGAGCATGCAGCCCAAGAAGAAAACTCGTGGGTTTGTCCAGCGGCTGAAGGGCAAACAAGGTCGTTTCCGTGGCAACTTGTCAGGCAAGCGTGTGGACTTTTCTGGCAGGACTGTCATTTCTCCTGATCCAAACATGAGGATTGATCAGGTTAGTTGTTTTGTGTGTTTGTAAAAAAGGTATAGGTTGATTTGTATTCTGTACTTCCTGTTCTTTAATGTTATGTGCCTCAAACCAAACCTGTCATCCTACATCATGCCAAGGGCTTCTGGTAGAGGAGTACCACATTTAAAAAGACACTAGCCTTATCCTAAGATGAGGAAGTGCAAATTCATCCTGAAATATAAACATTTTATTTACACAACCTTGATCAGAATGAGGACCAAATAGTTCTTTATTGAAATATCAGCATGCACACATAAAAAGCAGCTGATAATTGTGCTATTCGTACCAACTTCTTCTATGAATGCCAGACGTAGACAGTCCCAAAAAAACAAACAATAAAATTACAACATGTGAGATGAGATGTAAAGAAATGCGGGGGAAAACAAGAAGAGAACGAGTCACAAATGAAGAACTTAGAACAATAGTAGGCCCAGTACCTGTAAATGATTCCATAGAACATCAAAGAATCAAATGGTTTGGAACAAAATCAGCCACTGGCAAGAACGTACAACATGAGAACAGCAGGCTACAAGGAAAGAGGCCAACAAAGAAAGAGATGGGTGGAGGGAATTAAAGAGGCACTACAGAAACACAATAGGACATCAACACAAGCTAAGTAACTATCAAAGGGACTGGAAACTACATACAGCTCCTCTCTGCGACACTTTGCTGCCATAGCAGTAGGACACAAAAAAAGAAGATCAAATCAAAAATGGTAACCTAGCTCATAAAAGTAGGAGGAGGGAGGGGGATTTAGGGAGATTATGGTTTGGAAGGTGAGTCACCTTCCTTGATAGCATAAGGAATCCTTTCTGATGTTTTATATTATCGTCTTTCACCACTTATAGAGGGTTTCGGGTCTCTAGTTTTTGTTGAGAGCCAGCATTTATTCCAAAGTGCTCTGGTGTTAGTGACCATATTTAATTTTTCTAAGATGTTTGACAGTGTTATCATTCAATGAATTAACACAGCTGTTAACTAGGGTTCCATTACTTTTAATAGATTTTTGGCATTTTTGACCATGTGGTCAAAAGATCCTGTATTTCAGTAGTGCTAATCTTTCCACTCCCCCCTCCTCCCCAAATCCCTTTTTTCCCTCGATTGAAATTTCTTCTGCAATTTCTTCCTTCTGCTGCTGGTGAAGGTGCTGAAGCTCTTGTGTTGTAACATCAGTCACATGATCAGCATACCGCGAGCTTTTCCCCGAGGCAAAATTCACTTGATAATTTTGTTCAGATACCAAGTTGTTAAAGTTTTGAGCTGTGTGAATTCCAAGGTATCACTATATTCCCATAGTTAGCGTTGGATACACTGCAGCCAACTTCCATCGTGGGGACGTGACAATTTAAAAAGAAAACTTGTAATAAATTGGTTTGCCTGATATTCCTGCCAGGTTGCTGTGCCCATTCATGTAGCTAAGACAATGACCTACCCTGAAAGAGTTTGCCCTGCAAACTTGGCCTTAATGCAGCAGTTGGTCAAGAATGGGTGTGATGTCCACCCAGGTGCAAATTTTATCAAGGTAGGTTAGATAATGTGGATCTTTGTATACTTTTGGAAGAAGAGTCTTATGTGTACTGTCATCCACGGATATCTCTGGGTAATTTGGTCAGAAGGCAATTTTTTGCTGATTTTGGCTTTGTAGCAAAACAGTGCATCTAGTACATTGTTAGATATTTGGCTGGATAGAACATTTAGTTCTTTATTAGGTTTTTGGCTAGATAGAACATTATGTTATAAATATCAAATTGTAGAACATTGTTAATTATATGGTTAGATAGAACAATGTAGTTCATCGTTAGGTGCACAACCAGTTAGATCATTTACTTCATTGTTAGGTGCATGGCCCAATAGAACATTTACTTCATTGTTATGTGCATGGCCCAATAGAACATTTACTTCATTATTACGTGCACGGCACAATAGAACATTTACTTTATTATTAGGTGCATGGCCCAATAGAACATTTACTTCATTGTTAGGTGCATGGTCCAATAGAACATTTACTTTATTGTTAGGTACATGGCCGGATAGAACATTTAGTTCACTGTTAGGTGTATGACCGGATAGAACATTTAGTTCATTGTTAGGTGCATAGCCAAATAGAACATTTAGTTCATGTTAGGTGCATAGCCAGATTGAAAATTTACTTCATTGTTAAACATTTGGCTAGATAGAATATTTTGTGTATTGTTAAGTATTTGGCTAGATAGAACAGTGTGTTCATTGTTTAGTGCATGGTCAGATAGAACATTTACTTCATTGTTAGGTGCATGGCCCAATAGAACATTTACTTCATTGTTATGTGCATGGCCCAATAGAACATTTACTTCATTATTACGTGCACGGCACAATAGAACATTTACTTTATTATTAGGTGCATGGCCCAATAGAACATTTACTTCATTGTTATGTGCATGGTCCAATAGAACATTTACTTTATTGTTAGGTACATGGCCCAATAGAACATTTAGTTCATTGTTTGGTGCATTGTCAAATAGAACATTTAGTTCATGTTAGGTGCATAGCCAGATTGAAAATTTACTTCATTGTTAAACATTTGGCTAGATGGATTATTTTGTTTATTGTTAAGTATTTGGCTAGATAGAACAGTGTGTTCATTGTTTAGTGCATGGTCAGATAGAACATTTAGTTTATTGTTAGGAGCATTGCTGCGTAGAGCTTTTCATCTGATGTTTTTTTAAATAATATATTTAATGATGTTCTCCACTCTTAGATCCAGTCGACAGGTGAACGCAAGTTTCTCCGTTACGGCAATCGCAACCACATTGCCAGCAGTCTGCGATACGGTGATGTGATTGAGAGGCATATGATTGATGGCGATGTGGTGTTGTTCAACCGCCAGCCTTCTCTACATAAGTTGAGCATTCAGGCTTTCTATGCCAAGGTATCTGATGTAGAAATAGTAAATCCTTTGTCTTTTTTGATTTTAGTCTTGCCCTTATTCTTACTCATTTTCTTTTTCTTGTTGCTTGCTCTGCTTCATCTCTCTTTTTTCTTCTTCTTGTTTATTTGTTACTCCTTCTTCCAGTCTCTTGAGCTTCTTTGTCGTTCTCATTCTCCAATTGCTTTTGATTCTAATTTTCCTTGTCCACTATGTCATCATCTCTATCTTCCCGGGTGGGTTCTGAGGCCCCACTGTGGGGAAACCAAGAAAAGACTCACTGCCTCTACAACAAGCTTGTTGTAAGAGTTGACTAATTGTGGGCTTCCTTTGATGTTTGTGTGCACCTGCACGAGAGGCGAGGAACCAACAATGTGCATACAGGTAAGTCAGATTTGTAGAATGGATAGGCACACAACACTCAGGTTCTGGAATAAGACGAAAGTCCATCGCTGAACAAAAAAACCAGAACTTTCCATGGGAGTTTATGACCGATGAAGGTGAAGAAGAATTAGAATCATCTGTATCATTATAAACCCTGCTTCTTCTCCATATTAATATCATTTATATATACAGCTCAGCCTACTGTATTATACTACAGGTTTAGTATAGTATTACAAAGCTACTGTTATAAATCTTAGATTTCCCCAGAGAGAAACATAACTTCTGTGCATGATTAGTTAAAGCAGTTATTAGAGGACCAAGTCCATTGTAGGCTTCTGCATGATTAGTTAAAGCAGTTATTAGAGGACCAAGTCCATTGTAGACTTCTGCATGATTAGTTAAAGCAGTTATTAGAGGACCAAGTCCATTGTAGACTTCTGCATGATTAGTTAAAGCAGTTATTAGAAGACCAAGTCCATTGTAGACTTCTGCATGATTAGTTAAAGCAGTTATTAGAGGACCAAGTCCATTGTAGGCTTCTGCATGATTAGTTAAAGCAGTTATTAGAAGACCAAGTCCATTGTAGACTTCTGCATGATTAGTTAAAGCAGTTATTAGAAGACCAAGTCCATTGTAGACTTCTGCATGATTAGTTAAAGCAGTTATTAGAAGACCAAGTCCATTGTAGACTTCTGCATGATTAGTTAGAGCAGTTATTAGAGGACTAAGTCCATTGTAGACTTCTGCATGATTAGTTACAGCAGTTATTAGAGGACCAAGTCCATTGTAGACTTCTGCATGATTAGTTACAGCAGTTATTAGAGGACCAAGTCCATTGTAGACTTCTGCATAATTAGCTACAGCAGTTATTAGAGGACCAAGTCAATTGTAGACTTCTGCATGATTAGTGAAATATTGCGTCTGAAGATTTATTTTAAAGAGATGAGGTAGCCATTCTCATGCCTTCTTAGTAGCTTCTTCTTTTCTTCTTTGCATTCATTGGCTGTAAACTCTGGCAGAAAGTCCTCATTGTGTATACACTAGACTTTTTTCTTTAAGCATTACTGTACATTAATTTTTCAGATAAAGCTTATGTTGTGTGCAGACTATTGGTTTCTTGCCTCTCAGACAGATGCACACTGCCTTCATATTAAGCATTGATCCTATCTGTGTTAACCAGGCTCCCGGTTGGGAATCTGTTTCTGGGATGACCACGGAGACGTGTAGAATAGGTCGTGACTAAAATGAGCAGTGACCTTCATTTGCTTCCCAGTAGCATCGAATAATGTACATTTCCGAGTGCTTCTTCTGTTTTCTCATTTTTAAATCTCTCTTTTTCCCGGTTTTGGAAAATATTAGTGAATACATTTATCTGAGATGGTTTGAAAAGAATATTCAGAACTGGTTTGCATGTGGTAACAGAATTCTCGCATGCTATATAGTCAGTTTTAACATATAGCTGTGAATCCTGGTCAATTAATAAACAAACCAAACAATTTCTTGGATCCTCATAGATGTGGTTTTACAGAAAAATCTTTAGAAATCCTTGGAAAGCCAATAACAGAAGCAACCTAGATGTTATGAAAGAGGAAGAGGCGAGGACTCAAAAACAACTTATCACAAACATCATTTTTTGGTCATGTTATGTGAAAATGAAAAAACTGGAACATACTGTGACCACTGGAAAGATCTGTGGAAAAATAGATGGAAGAAGATACCCTGAGATGATTATTGATCGCCTGTTGTCATGGCATGAAGGAGTATCAGGACACAAACTTATACATACTGTTAAAGATCGCAGTATTGTGAAGAGGCAGGGTCATCCACATTAGTAAGCAAAGTAGTAGATGATGATAAGCGAGATGGCAGTACATTGACTGTGTCTATATTAAATTTTTCAGGTGATGCCCCATCGAACGTTCCGGTTCAACGAGTGTTGCTGTGGTCCATTCAATGCTGACTTTGATGGGGATGAGATGAACCTTCACCTACCCCAGACTGAGGAAGCTAAAGCTGAAGCCATTATACTGATGGGCTCCAAGTCAAACATCATTACACCAAGGAATGGAGAACCTCTGATTGCTGCTATTCAGGATTTTATAACAGGTGTTCTATTGTGTCACTGTAGCCCAATGGTCGCCAGCCTTTTTTTCTTTCTAGAGCCCCCCACCCCAAGTCATCATCATCATGAAGCAGGTACTTTGCAGAATGTCGCTCTCATCACGGTCCGCCTGAAAGAAACTCGCCAGCTCTCCCGCCTCATGTACTTTCATACTCAAGGAGTCACTTAATGTCTTGTGACCATTGTCATGTTGGTTGGCCCCTGCCCCTCCTTCCTGATACCATGTCCTCTGCTATCATTTTTCCAATCTTTGAGTAAATGACAAGTATTTTCATTCGGTTTTTAATTTAGTTTCCTAGATTTGGGACAGGGCCCTTAGGGCTCCAGCTGACCTCTGACCCAAAATGTGTGAGCTGTGGGTGTTGCATGATGCCTTTTTGTTTTATTAGTTTCCATCATTTGTGTAGTGCTTTTTATTTCAATTGTATCTGAGTCCCACTAGTACAGTAGATACCATGTTTCCCTTTTAGCCCAAAGTTATATATTCAAATCCGCATCATGGAGGATCTTTCAGAATTGGCCATAACTTCCAGATTGACACACACCAAGAAGTGTTTTGAGAATTAAAGTGGGCTATTTGGTATTGAACACATCACCCACTGAGTGCTGATTAGCCTATAATTATATGAGACCATCATTTTATTTTAAATGAGCTACAATGTGTAGTAGTTGGTCCTTTATTTTACTTATGAATCAGTTGATTTCTTTATATTTGTGTAGATTGCAACTGTATGGTTTGTGTAATATTCTTGCCAGGTGCCTATCTCATCACCCAGAAGGATGTGTTTTTTGACCGCAGTCGGGCTTGCCAGATTATCTCCTCGCTGTTAGTGGGCAAAGATGTCACCATGAAGATTGACCTTCCGCCGCCCGCCATCTTGAAACCCTGCAGGCTCTGGACTGGTAAACAGGTGTTCTCACTTCTGATACGACCCAACAAGACTTGTCCCGTAAAGGTGAGAGGCCTTTTTGGCTTAAAGTGAATATATCTGCCAGATTTTTGCAGCTAAAACGAAGGGTGAACTGCATGTCATAGCAAAAGACAGGACGATTTGACAGGAGTTGGTTGAGCGCCTGGGCTTCATTGGGTGATAAAGGGTAGAAGGCCAGAAATATTTCACAACAAAATAAGCCTAAACACAATAAAAAGCTTGCGTGAGTAACTTCCTAAGATCCCTGTTTGGTTTCTCTGGCTCCATTTTGTAGAACAAAGAATAGAACACACTCCTTCCCCCCCCCCCCCCCACACACACACACACACAAGATTGTTGTAAAAGTCAACCAAATAGGGCTGTTTCCTTCAAAGTTAAGTGTATCTTCTTGAGAGACAAGGAACCAGTAGTCTGCTTACAAAAAATTAAAAGATAAAACCCCAGATCTTAATAAAGAATAGGCCCCACTGCCCTCTAACAATGGTGAAAATATGGGGGTGACTGCAGTCAAATTTCTCTGGAATGCCCTGTAACAAATGTCATAAAAGTTGACTAATTATGGGTGGGTTTTTTTTTTTTTTTTAAATCAGGATGTATCTGCCTGAGAGGTGAGGATCCAACAGTCTGTACAGATAAGCCAGATCTGTAACAAGACTTAAGTCCAGAAGTGGGTGAAAAACCAGAAGTTTCTGCTGCTGTTCACAGCCGGTGAACGCAAAGAAGATATAGAACTAAATTTACCTTCTACTGGTAACATTGGCCCTTATTTATGTCCAGATCAATCTGAGGACTAAAGGAAAGAACTACACAAAGAATGAGGACCTCTGCAGCAACGATTCCTTTGTGGTGATCCATAACAGTGAGATCATGTGTGGCTACGTGGACAAGGCTACTCTGGGCTCTGGATCCAAGAAGACCATCTTCTACCTCATCCTGAGGGATTATGGCGAAGAAGCTGGAGCTGATGCTTTGTCTAGACTGGCTCGGTTGTGTCCTGCATTCTTGTCCCATCATGGATTTTCTATTGGCATTGGCGATGTGACCCCAGGAGAAGGTAGGGTTGTTGTCTGTTCTTAATTTTGTTTCTGTCTCCTAAATACAGAGTTATTAAAAATGATGGATACATTTTCACTCTTGTAAATTTCCTTGAATATACATTACATTTTAATATTAATTTTTAATACATGCACAAATTATGCAACCCACTTCATGTCCTCAACAATTTAGTTAAAGTAGTCCTTGTATGTTTAAAAGAAGAATGACAGTATCCATTTTCCAGCAATTGAGGAGCAATCATCTGGGTATGAGAAAAAAAGACAAACTTAAGAGAAATGTCTCAGGCAAGCACTGGTACCAACAGTGATAAGACAAAGAAGGTGGCGCTATAGATGACATGTAAAGTCATAGCAGGACAGTGATGATGATGATGATCATTAACAGATTGTATATTACAAAATTATTCATTTTATCCAAGAAATCATTCAAGCATAATAGTTAGTTTTATTACCTGATGAGACTAATCTGGGTTTAATTCTCAGCAGAAGAAATAAGAGAATTGTCTGGGCAACTTTGAATATCAACTGTTATACGAGAGAAAAAATGGCGCTTTGTTAGACACTTTCTGAGAAGAGACAAAACAGAATCACCAAACAGATATTGAGAATGGGAAATAAAGGGATCGAGGAAATAAGTACTGTAGCACAACTCTCATCTTTGTGTATGTCGATGTCACACCCAGGTCTGTCTTTAGCTTGCTACCTGGAGTAGTCTATTGGAAGATTATAGACGAGGAGGAAGATGGTCGTGTCAATTGTGGTGATGATGATGATGATTTATTGCCATTGTATGCTTCTCGTCGCTCTGATACTTGTATAACAAAATATCTTGAAACAACTTTTAATTTTATTGTGCTGTCTTTGTTGTCATTTCTAAATGCGATAAATAAAATCAATGATATTCTGAATGACAGCTGATAACGCTCTGTAGTTATATACTCTTAATATCGTGTTGTGTTCTTCGTCTCTGTTTACTCGTGAGCTAGTTCTAGTACCTAACTGCCGCCTGGCTTCTAGTGCTGTCTGATACTAACGATTTGATCGTCGACTCTAACATATTAGTAATGTTTCTGTCTATGTGTCTGTGAATCTATGTATCTTCACCGTTGTCTCTGTAGTTCAATGTTTCGTTTCATGTCAACTCTCTAGTGTCTGTCTTTGAGGCTCAATGTAACTGGTTCCTCTCCTAGTGTTGAGCTGGCATCTCCATAACTGAAGGCTCTTGTCTTTGAGGGTACATATGACTAGTCCCTCTTTTTACAAGTCTCGAGGACTAAAGCTTGTCTTTGAGTGTCCTTATGTCTAGTCCTTCTTCTGAGTCGCGATGACTGAAGATTCCTCCTAACATGTGATGGTCCATTTTACTAGTCCTTCCTCTTCTAAGTCTCATAGACTGAAGGTTGCTCAAGTGGTTTCTTACCCACTATTTATGCTGAGAAGCTGGCATGTATGAAATGTGTTTTCTACTCTTTAACTGCTTCTGGAAGGTTCTAATATTGCTCAAACTTGTTTACTATCGAGGTTCTCCATGTGGGATTTTCTAATTTTTTCTTGATTGCATCAGATAGCTCTACACCAAAATACTTACTGGATCGACAGCTTGCCTTCTAGGGTCTTCTAAAAAGAGAGTGCGATTGCATTCTCTTTGTTAGGGCATGTCAATAAGATTACATCAGATACTGTTTATATAACTAGTTTATTCGTTTGCATAGTATGCCTCTTTTAACAAACATGTGAGGGTTCTAGAAAGGGAATGTCAAGGTTGCTAAGACTCGTTGATTTTTATCTCTTCTTAACTATGTGCAGTATCCTATCTCCTGGCAAACATGTGATGGTTCTAGAATCAATCTCTAAAGTACATCCAATAGAAACCATAAGGCGAACATTGATGAGAAAAGCGACGGATTCCATCTATGATATCTGAGTGATTGCACAGGATAGGATGGAATGTGCAAATAGAGTGTGAGCAGTATGTGATGTATAATAACATAATAGGATAACGAAAGAATAGGCAACTGCACATATCAGTAGCAGCATCGCTGTGGCACTAGTATAACTACACTGACGTGTCTTACATTATTTCAAGTTGTACTAATTGATTCGGCTGCAGGTTTGATCCGCAAGAAACAGGCACTACTAAGCAAGGGCTACTCAACCTGTGATGGCTACATCCGAGACCTGGAGGAGGGCCGACTCCAGCCGCAGCCAGGTTGTACGGAGGATGAAACATTGGAGGCCAAGATTCTCAAAGGTTAGTCCAGTATCTGCTGTGTTATTCTCTTCTTCTTCTGCCATTCCCTCCCTCCCCAGTGTAGCATAGACCCTTAATCATCTCACCAGGAGTCATCATATCCTTTGCTATTATGCTCTCTTTCAGTAGTTGATCTGGTTTTTCTGGCACCTGCCCTCCTCTTTCTAGTTTGAGTATTCATACCTGGGAGATTAATTCAGATTAGAATGAGCAGAGGTATTGAACATTTTTCTGCGTGCAGCAAAAAAGGCAGAATGACTTGTAATCAGGTAGCTCCCCATGTTAGTCCCAGGGTCCCATTGCAAAAAAAAAAAAAAAAAAAAAAAAAAAAAAAAATTGAAAGAAAAATAGGACCACTGTCTCACTTAACAAGCATGTATACTAGTCATCTAATTAAGGGTTTTCCTTTGAAGTCGGAATGCATCTGCCTAAGAGGCAGGAACAAACAGTCTGCATACAAATAAGCCATATCTGTGAAGCAAATGTTCACGCTAAACAAGCACTAGGGCAGTACTGCAGAGCAGAAGTAGACGATTGACCAGAACTGTCCGCCGGAGTTTACAGCTGGTGAACACTAAGGAGGAGAAGAAGAATGAGCTAGCAAATAGAGATTGTGATCAAAACTAATTTTTCTTCTTCTTTGCATTCACCGGCTGTAAACTCCAACATAAAATTCTGGTTGTTCATCCAGTTCTAGACTTTGGTCTTGTTTCAGGACTTGAGTTTTGCATGCACATCCATTTTACACATCTGGTGTATTTGTTTGCAGACTGTTTGTTCTTCACCTCACAGGTAGATGCACTCTGATTTTGAAGGAAACATCCCTAATTAGTTGACTTCTATTCCCTGTGTAAGTTCCGGGGTCCCATTGTGGGGAAAATGAGTAGACCCATTGCCTTCCCAGCAAGAATGTTGTGAGAGTCGACTAATTGAGGGCTTTGTTCGTAGTTGGAGTGCATTTGCCAGAGCAGTAAGGAACAACCCTCAGCACACAAATGAGATAGTAAAACAAATGTACATGTAAGAGTCAGGCCCTGGCATTAAGCCAAAGTCCAAACGGACCAACAACCAGGAATTTCCGCTGGAGCTTACAGCCAGTGAACAAAGAAGGAGAAGTCACCTTCTATGACATGCTTATTAGGGAGACAGTGGGTCTGTTCCTTCTTTCCACAAAATGGAGCTTACAAACCCACACAGGGAGGTCAAAACTAACTAAAAGTAGTTTTTGTTTCTTCGATCTTTCTGTCAGAAAACTGTTATCAGGCGGCCATAGCCTTGATGGAAGCTGTCGTGCATTCCATATGTCCCTGTTAACCATAAAGCTTTGTTTTGATCAAGGTTTGAACAGTCCAGATTGTTAGCAGCATACATTTGACAGTGCTGGAATACATGCTCAAGCTACAGGGACACATCTCTGTGTTTCCTGCACCGAAAAACTTTAACATATGTAGGCAAAATCTGCTTAGCACTTTTCCTTATTCTAAATGTGAGACATTGTCTCTCTCTATGAAGTCAATGAAGCAAGACTTGGAGAGACAATTTGGTGTGGTTATCTAGCCACCCTTCTTGGATACGTGTTTTTATAAAGTGTTATAAAGTTATGATCAAAGCTCCACTAATTAAATGTAATGAATATGGTAAAAACTCTACTAGTTAAATGTAATGACTATGATCAAAGCTCCTCTAATTGAAAATTGCTGATTCTGTTCAAAACTCCACTAATTAAATGTAATCATTGTAGTCAAAATGCTATTAATTAAATATAATGAATTTAGTCAAAGCTTTGCCTTTAAAAGTAGTGATTATGTCAAAACTCCATCACTTAGATGTAATGACTGTGGTCAAAGCTCCGCTAATTGAATGTAGTGATTATGGTCATAGCTCCAAATTGAAAGTAGTGATTGTATTCAAAAATCCACTAATTAAATGTAATTATATGTGGTCAGAGAACTTCACTTATTGAAACAGCATGCTTCATGCAGAGTAGCTAGTATCACTTCAGAGATCCCCGGTAGTTAGCATCCTTTGATATTTTCTCCAGGTCATGCTGGTGTGTTGGGAAATGAGCAGGCAAATAGACTGGCTGGCTTTGCACCACTTGGTGGTGAATTGATGCATGACAAGTTAGATATTGTGAGGCTACTTTGGGAGTGAGTGAACAGTCCGCAGGCGCAGATAGATCATTATGGTCTAAGAAGAATGGCGCTGTGAGGAGTTACCAGTGGATCTGATCGATGCTCAACACTCAGGGAAAGGTTGAGACGAATATACAATCAGATGGTTACTGGTACCATCGGAATTGGAACTCTTCCTTTGCTGTTGAAGATGGGGACTGAGCACTTATGGGAGTGCACCTAGTACTGTGATGTTTATTTTTTTATTCAACATTCAAGTTATTGAAAGTAATAATTGTGGTCAAGATGCATTAATTGAAAGTGTGATGGTTGTAACATTTCACAGAACTGTCAGTGATCAGAGACCACGCCGGAGAAGCTTGCTTGGAGGAACTTCACAAAACCAACAGCCCACTCAACATGGCCATCTGTGGATCCAAGGGTTCTTTCATCAACATCTCTCAGATGATTGCTTGTGTCGGCCAGCAGGTTTGGCAGGCTTTTCCTTCTCTTCTTAGCATTCATTGGCTGTAAACTCCGATGGAAAGTTCTGGTTGTTCATCCACTTTTGGACTTTAGTCTTGTTCCAGAACTTGAGTTTTGCATGCATGTCCATTTTACAGATTTGGCTTATTAATATGCAGACTTTTAGTTCCTTGTTTGTCACACAGAGGCTCTCCAATTTTAAAAGAAACATCTCTAATTAGTTGCCCTTTACAACATGTTTGTTAGTGGGGCAGTGGGTCTGTTATACTTTTTCCCCCTACAAGGGACTCTTGAACCCACACAAGGAACTTCTTTACTGTTACAAGCAGTATTACCTGCGTCATTTCCTTGTTGTTTGTTCCTTTTAATTGTGACCCAAAAACCTTATTTGTGACCCTTTGAAAATAAAGTTTGTTTATTTGTTTATTCTCTGTCTCAAGCATTTATTTTTTCTTCCTTTTATTCCCCCACCCGCTGTTGCTTTCTTCCACTAGCTTTCTCTTTTTTCTTCTCTCTGTTCCTCCCTCCCATTTTCCTCTTTCTTTTTTCTCCTTCTTTCTTTATCTTTTTTCTTTCTCACAATCACACACACTCTTTTTCTCACAAATTTATAGAAATTGATATCTTTATCTGTAATTCACTATCACTGTCATGCTTTGTCCTCACACGCATTCCACAGACATTTCTTTTTAATTATTATCTTTCCATTTGCTGAGAGTGTTGCCCAAGACATAAACTCCACAGCTCCAAATTATAAATATTACAGTGTAATTCTAAACTTTCAGAGCACAGTATGTTTTCTTTCACATATTAAACCATGTATTGCATGCTTAACATTCATTTTTAAGCACTCAGGCTGCAATGTAACCTGAGAGATGCACATAGTCCAGGCAGACTGTGCTACGGTTGATCCCAGGGCACTGCCACATTGGGGGAAATGAAAGACAGACTACTTAGCAACAGTTACAAGTTATACAGAACAGCCAGATACAGAATGTACTTTTGAGGAAAATAAAATCCAGATCAAGTTAGCCAATAGAACCCAATGGAACACTTCTCAGCGAGGATACAATTCTGAAGACCCAATCAACCTCCTGACATAAAAGAATCAGACCATTATATTTAGACTGCTTACTGGACACAATATACTTTGCAGCCATGTGTACTAGAAATTCAAGATTGACTTTCAGAGCTCTGCCCGTGTAGACAGGCACTACAGAATATGTGATGTGACATGCTCTCTACATGCAGCAGAGAGATCCTAAATTTGAGCAGTTGTCATTCTAATGGAAACTATGGATCAGGGGAGGACATGTGTTGCACCACGGATTTCATAAAAGCCGGCGGCCTTCGCATTTGAAAATCACTGACCGGGAGAATGAAGAGGGGAGAAAAAAGCGGGTTACAGTTTAACTTATTCATCATCATCATCATCTGCCACTAAGTATCGTCGGGAAGGATAATTTGCAATCTAGTGCACATTGGCTGTTGTCATACCTTGAAGGCTTAGTGTCTTTAATGTTGTTGATCCACAGTGTTTATGGCTGCTGTCATACCTTGAAGGCTTAGTGTCTTTAATGTTGTTGATCCACAGTGTTTATGGCTGTTGTCATACCTTGAAGGCTTAGTGTCTTTAATGTTGTTGATCCACAGTGTTTATGGCTGTTGTCCCACCTTGAAGGCTTAGTGTCTTTAATGTTGTTGATCCACAGTGTTTATGGCTGTTGTCATACCTTGAAGGCTTAGTGTCTTTAATGTTGTTGATCCATAGTGTTTATGGCGGCTGTCATACCTTGAAGGCTTAGTGTCTTTAATGTTGTTGATCCACAGTGTTTATGGCTGTTGTCATACCTTGAAGGCTAAGTGTCTTTAATGTTGTTGATCCATAGTGTTTATGGCTGTTGTCATACCTTGAAGGCTTAGTGTCTTTAATGTTGTTGATCCACAGTGTTTATGGCTGTTGTCCCACCTTGAAGGCTTAGTGTCTTTAATGTTGTTGATCCACAGTGTTTATGGCTGTTGTCATACCTTGAAAGCTTAGTGTCTTTAATGTTGTTGATCCACAGTGTTTATGGCTGCTGTCTGGCTTTTTTTAGCTGATCTTTTGAGATGTAGTGCCTGTTATGGTATTTGATGTTACCGTCTTCTAAGGAGGTGGCAAAACAACTTAATCTGCTGTTTCTTGATGAATCCAGCACAAGATGTTGTTCCCACAATTGCTTGTTCTCGGATGGTTAGGTTGGCGGCTTTTCTCAGGTATCTTATCTTGCAGGTGATAATTTTGCGTATGTGAGCTTTAGATGCTGTCCATGTGAGCTTTAGATGCTGTCCATGTGAGCTTTAGATGCTGTCCATTTTTGACAATGTTAGCTCAATGTTGATATGAATATGCTGTTTATAATGTAAATTATTTATTGTTCTACATATGTTGTTTGCTATCGTTAGGCTATCAGCCTTATCTAGTGACCTATTGTTCCACATATGTTGTTTGCTATCACTAGGCTATCAGCCTTATCTAATGGCTTATTGTTCCACATATGCTGTTTGCTATTGCTAGGCTATCAGCCTTATCTAGTGACTTATTGTTCCTCATATGTTGTTTGCTATCGCTAGGCTATCAGCCTTATCTAGTGGCTTATTGTTCCACATATGTTGTTTGCTATCGCTAGGCTATCAGCCTTATCTAGTGACTTATTGTTCCACATGTTTTGTTTGCTAGGCTATCAGCCTTATCTAATGACTTATTGTTCCTCATATGTTGTTTGCTATCGCTAGGCTATCAGCCTTATCTAGTGACTTATTGTTCCACATGTTTTGTTTGCTAGGCTATCAGCCTTATCTAATGACTTATTGTTCCTCATATATTGTTTGCTATCGCTAGGCTATCAGCCTTATCTAGTGGCTTATTGTTCCACATGTGTTGTTTGCTAGGCTATCAGCGGCAAGCGGGTGCCCAACGGATTTGAGGACAGGGCCCTACCTCACTTTCCGAGGTTCTCCAAGGATCCGGCAGCTCGTGGGTTTGTGTCCAACAGTTTCTACTCAGGTAATGACTTGATGGATTTTATGTCACAGATAGCTGTAGCTGACAGTTTTTTTCTTTTATTCTATCTCTCTCTCTTTCTCAGTCTGACTTTGTTTTTCTCTTTGTGTGTATTTCTTGGCTTTGTCGTTCAAATTCCATCTTTCCTTTTTTGTATTCATAATATCCTATTTTCAAATTTCCTTCTGTCACTTTTTTTGTGGGTGACTTATTTCTTCATATCTCTTACACTCATCTCTCCATACCTATAATACTCTCCTTCCCACACTTTCTCTCTATTTATCTTTTACTCTCCATCTCACATGCTCTTGCTTCACTTCTCCCACTCTTCTTATTAGCTTTCTCTGGCTGTAAACTCTGGAGGAAAGTTCTGGTTGTTCATCTACTTCTGGACCTTAATCTTGTTTCAAAACTGGAGTTTTGCATGCTTATCTGTGTTACAGATCTGGCTTATTTGAATGCAGACTGGTGGTTCCTCACAGTTACACTGTGGTTTTAAAGAAATCTCACATAATTAGTTACCTTGTATGACCTGCTTGTTAGGGGGCAGTGATCTATTCCCCCCCCCCCCCCCCCAATGGGCCACATAAAATGCACACAGGGCTTTCTCTACAGTTTTTGTCCATTCTTGTTTTCTGATACACCTAATCAAAGCTGTTTTTTTTTTTTTTGCCTTTACTCACCACAAAGCTTCTTTCTTTAAAAAAAAAATGTACAAGTACTCATCACCAAGTGTTCAATACAGTAGTGCTGAAAAAAGAATTATTCCTGAAAAAGGTGCCAGTGCTGCATACCATAAAAAGCCCTGCATCTAACGGTTTTCCTTCCTCCATGTAGCCCTCCCCCCCCCCCCCCCACTTTCTGTATGTGTTGTGTCTGTGAGAGGACGTATCCATGGGTTGTGTCTGTGAGAGGACGTATCCCTGTGTTGTCTGTGTGCATTTGTTGTGGCTGTGTTTTTATATGTGTGTGTGAGTGTGTCTATGTATATGTTTTGTGTCTGTGTGAATGTATTCTGTCTGTGATTGTGTATATGCCTGTTTATGTTGTGTTTGTCCTCCGTATGTATAAGGGTGTTCGGTATCTGTGATATGTATGATATGTATCTTTGCATGAATATTTGAAGAATACATTAATCATCCATGCTCACTATAAATTTTGATATATTAACATAATATGATTGATATAAAATACAACTGCAGTACGAACAATGAATGCATTGAAATACCTGGGTGTCCAATTTGTAACCTTTTGATAATAAAGTTTGTTTGTTCATTCTCCCCTCTCTATGTCTTTTGTCCCCCCCCCCCCCCTTTCCTCTTCCTCTCTCGTCTCTATCTCTCTTATCTCTCCCTCTCTATTTACTGCTGGCCCAAAGGTCTTAAATTTGAGCGGAACAGAAATAGAAAAAATGTGAGTGGCTCCCATGTTGATCCAGCCTAAATTTGGTCCTAAGAAATGTCCTGGGAAGTGAAGGTGGCCAACAGTGTTGACCTCATCATCCATCGAGTGCAGATTGCTTTTTTAAAAATATGGGTCTAGCATCGTATGCCCAATGCATTATGGTTTGAAAAGGATCTGTTTGCCACCTTATCTAACGATGTATAGTTAGTTAGGTTGCACCTATGACCACAAATTTTTTCCCCCAAAAAAAGTAAGTACAGAGAGATGACTACATTACAGTACGTGCAGTAGAGTACATATTATGTATTTTTCACATTGTGTACATAAATTTACGCACATAGATTAAATTGTTGTGTTTTGTGAACTGTTTGATTAAAAGTATTGTTGGAAATACAATTTTTACTTATGTCCAGTTCCATTTAACTCAGGACAGGACGGAACTCAGTCATAAGTTGAGGTGACCCTGTATTTATATTCATGCACTAGCAGATACTTTTGGTTTTCTTCATTTTATGTGATCCCCTCTCCAGGTTTGACTCCCACAGAGTTCTTCTTCCACACGATGGCCGGGAGGGAGGGCCTGGTCGACACAGCTGTGAAGACTGCTGAGACCGGCTACATGCAGAGAAGGCTGGTGAAGTCCCTGGAGGACCTGTGCCTGCAGTATGATTCCACAGTGAGGACATCCACCGGCGAGGTTAGTCATGGGCTTCTCATGGAAGTTGTCTGTTTATGTTGGAATATTTTTCCCTCTGGACATTAGGATGTTTATGTTAGAATATTGTCCCCTCTGGACATTAGGATGTTTATGTTGGAATATTTTTCCCTCTGGACATTAGGATGTTTATGTTGGAATGTTTTCGTCTCTGGACATTAGGATGTTTATGTTGGAATGTTTTCACCTCTGGACATTAGGATGTTTATGTTGGAATGTTTTTGCCTCTGGACATTAGGATGTTTAAGTTGGAATGTTTTTCCCTCTGGATATAGATTATTAATCCTGGCATGTTTCTACCTCTGAGCATTGGATTGTTTGATGGCATGTTTATCCCTCTAGGTACAGATTGTTTATGTTGGCATGTTTATCCCTCTGGACATTAAACTGTTTATGTTGGCATGTTTATCCCTCTGGGTACAGATTGTTTATGTTGGCATGTTTATCCCTCTGGACATTAAACTGTTTATGTTGGCATGTTTATTCACTGGGCATTGGATTGTTCATGTTGGTGTGTGTCTATCTCTGGGCATTGGATTAAGTTGGAATGTTTTCTCCTCCTGGGTGGTTTGAAGCCTTTAAAAGTCTGAATGTCTTATTCTGTATTTGGTCTTAGAAGGTTCGTTGACACCCCATGTTGCAGTTTACGGCTAGACTGTGACCTATCTATACTGACACATTATATTTCAGCAAACTCCTAATTAGTTACTTTTTTATGACATACTTGTTGGGGGGGGGGGGGGGGGGGCATTGAGCCATTCCCCTTCCCACCCCACCCCAATAGGGCCCTGGAACCCAGATAGGAGCAAAACAAATTGTAACCAATGGTACCAGTGACAGTCTGATTGTATGTTCGCCTCGCCTCTCCCTGAGTTTTGAGCATTGGCCAGATCCTCTGGTTACTATTTGTTGCACCATTTTTCTCAAGTCATGATGATCCGTACCTGCCCTGTGCTTGAAATCTGCTGATTAAAACTCTGCACTGGCTGCTGAAGATGGAGACGGATTACTTATGGGAATATGTTATGATGTCTGTTCTTAAGACATCTCAGGTAAACTTTTAGTACATGTATAAACCACAGATAAACTTGCTAAGAAAAGGAGAAAGTGTGAGCAGGAAGACAATACAAAAAGATACTCTCTCTGAAAAAGAGGTCATTTAGTCTATCAGAAGTGAACAGCGCCAGGTCAGTGGTGACTACCACTTACATGACCTGCACCACAGGACTAGGTGTAACAAACTTAACAAGCGTGTGCTCAGGCTTTGTCTGAGTAGTTCGCCACTGTGGTTTGTGCAGACAGACTGCAGAGCGTGTCCTGCAAGACTATATCCCATGTACAGTACATATACTGTCCCAATGGGTCAACACCATATTCAGAATTAAATGGAGCTAAGTCCAAAAATGAAAACAGTAGTTTTATCACAAGGACTCTTTTGTAGATGTAAATCAGTGATGTTACTAAAATAAAAAGCATGAAGTAGTACAACTGAATTCAGTGTTTTAAAAGTTAGCTTCTTGTCTTTTTTACCAGACTTTGCAGAATCAGCAGCAAACCATTTCTTTCTGAGCAGTCAAGCTTTTGATACTGCTGTTATAACCAACATAGGGCGGTTTTACAGCCAAATCACCCGCAGGTGAGGGAAAAGCCGAACCCTGAAATGGATGTCAAGCTCAATGGCAACTCTTTAATTTTATGTGAATGAATGGCAACTGTTAAATTTTGTGTGAATTGATGGCCACAATTACATTTCTGTGAATGAATCTTTCAGATTGTTCAGTTTGTGTATGGTGAAGACAGTCTTGACCCTGTGGCCATGGAAGGAACAGAACAGCCTGTAGAGTTCAGTCGACTAATTATTCATGTCAGAGCCATCATGGCTGCCAAGTGTCGCCACGAGCCCTCACTAAACGGAGAACAGGTACACACATTTTTATTAGTACTGGAGATTGCCCCAGCTTATTATAACTAAAGAAAAGGACCCTTTTCCACACCTTTAGGTGTTTTTGGGCATTGAGGGCAAACCTGTATTTTATAGCCTATTCAGCTCTTGTGAGTAATGTGGTCAACATCACACCAGGCACTTGTATTTCCCAGGACTTTAATCGATACCCATTTAACGCTGGGTTGACCTGGAAGACAATGTCATTTTAAAACAAACTTCAGCTCTATCAGGACCTGAACCCACAACCTTTGGATCCACAGCCGAGCGTCTAGCTGCTACACCACAGTGGCTCCCCCAGCTTATTATGGGTAACTGTAAGTGTTCTACCAAGAAGAAGTAAAACGTTGACATACTACCTGATCTAAGCATTGAGGAGAATGGGCTCATAAACAGCATCCTTTCCCGAAAGCTGGTTTTTTTTTGGCTATGGTAAATGTTTTGGTTGCCTAGAGAGAACATTGGTGGAGAGTGCAGTTTCTGGAAATAGAGGCAGAGGCAGACCTCCACAAATGTTGATACAAGACACTGAAGATGCACTGGCTATGAAAGCACATAGGGCTGGAGAATTGGCTACAGAAAGAGAGACTTACGGCCACAAAGGACCTGCTGATTGATGCTGGAGGTGTTTGAGGAATATAGTGGCAAAAAAAATATTTATGCTGACTCTGTCACATGTAATATGTGGATTAGTCTGGGGAAAAAAGCACCATATGCCTAATGTGGCTTATATAACCGACATGAATTCCTTGATGTTTTACTTTTGCACTGAAGTAATAAGGAAGCAGTCAACTAAGGAGTTAAGTAAGGAGGAGGGGTAGATAAAGGAGTTTAGTGAGAAGGGAATTGTCGATTAAAGAGGAAAGTGAGAAAGGAATGGTAGATTAAGGAGTGAAGTGAGAAGGCTAGGAGTAGATTAGCGATTGAAGGGAGAAGGAAGAGGTAGATTTATGGGCGAGAAGAGGAGTTAGGGTTAGATTGAAGAAAGGTGAAGAAGAGAGAAATGAGAAAGAGGATTTAAAACTGGTATCCTGTTATCTCAGTTAGTGTTAGTTTTAGCACATTATATTATATTGGTCTCCCCCCCCCCCCCCCCCCCCCCCCCCCTCCTCCTCTTCTGTGTTACCTGTGCTGCTGGTTCGAAGATGAGCCTAGAGTAGCTTTGATTGGTATAATAGACTTTTGTTAGTATGCATGGACAATGTGAGGAAGGGAGCTGGTATTCTCACTTTGTGAAACTGTTTACTTCAGTGTTTATCTTCTTCTCATAGATTATGATTTTGTTGTTTCTACTTTGATGTTGTCCTTGTTTTTTTTATCTGATAAATTATGATTTTGTTGTTTCTACTTTGATGTTGTCCTTGTTTTTTTTATCTGATAAATTATGATTTTGTTGTTTCTACTTTGATGTTATCTTTGGTTTTTCATCACCTAACAGATTCTGACACAAGTGAAGGATATTCTGAGCATCCTTTGAGAAGACGGCCGAGCACCTGTTTCAAGCAGCGTATTTTGGCCAGCGGGATGCCGTCTGTGGGGTCAGTGAATGTATTATCATGGGGATTCCTATGAACCTCGGAACCGGCATATTCAAACTTTTATACAAAGCAGAAAACCCACCCACGATTTCTCGGCGCCCTGTTCTTGTTGACTTTCATGCCCCGGAATACAGATGATAATCCAAGCAATCATTTCATTGCTGTTATGTTTCTTTATGTTTTTGCACTTCTTGCTGTAGGTAATGATGAGATAAGACATTGTGGTGTTGTACCTTTAGTATCACTGTAAAGTCTATCTTGATTTGTCAGAATATTCTTTTAATTCCCACAAGATGTAGGGAAACCGCCGTGGTGTAGCGGCTAGAGCTCACCTGCAGATCGGAAGGTCTGGGGTTCAGGACCTGACGGAGCCAGACTTTTTTTTTTTTTAAATATGACCTTGGCTGCCGGGTTGGCCTAGCCTTTTTTTTTTGGTACCAGGTGGAGTCTTGGGAAGTAAAGGTGGCTGGCGTGATGTTGACCAGCTCACCTGTGAAATTCCATTGGTCGATAAAATATAGGTTTAGCTCTAAATGCCCAAGTCGAAAATGGTCCTTTCAGAAGATGGGGTTTTGCAGTGTTTATTCACCTACCAGTTTGTAGGTCTGTTAATAGACATTCATATGTGCCACTGTTGGAGAACTAATCTTTGGAGTCCTAACATGTAGTTTTACTGAAGATTAGTCTCTGTAAAGTTAACCTGTAGTTTCACTGAAGATTAGTCTCTGTAAAGTTAACCTGTAGTTTTACTGAAGATTAGTCTCTGTAAAGTTAACCTGTAGTTTTACTGAAGATTAGTCTCTGTAAAGTTAACCTGTAGTTTTACTGAAGATTAGTCTCTGTAAAGTTAACCTGTAGTTTTACTGAAGATTAGTCTCTGTAAAGTTAACCTGTAGTTTCACTGAAGATTAGTCTCTGTAAAGTTAACCTGTAGTTTTACTGAAGATTAGTCTCTGTAAAGTTAACCTGTAGTTTTACTGAAGATTAGTCTCTGTAAAGTTAACCTGTAGTTTTACTGAAGATTAGTCTCTGTAAAGTTAACCTGTAGTTTTACTGAAGACTAGTCTGAAGGACTAATTTTGAAGACTTAACTTGTAGCACTGCTGCATACTAGTCTTTGTCACCTAAAGAAACTTGTAGCACTGCTGCATACTAGTCTTTGTCACCTAAAGAAACTTGTGCTGCATACTAGTCTTTGTCACCTAAACAAACTTGTAGCACTGCTGCATACTATTCTTTGTCACCTAAAGATTAATGCTAGTAAATTGAAGGTGATGGTAAATGTCAAACAAACCAAGAAGATTATTAATATTAACGGAAATAATGTTTTCACATTTGTTCTCATAAATTAAATATAATTTAAGAAATATATTTTGTTGCATTGTAGCTGCATTTTTCTATTTCTGTCAATTTTTAAAATAAGAAAGACATTACTAGTAGACTATTTTATGTATATATATATATATATATATATATATATATATATATATATATATATATATATATATATATATATATTTGGGGTCCGTCTCTCTAGCGTAGTTGGCTAAACCGGATTGCGCGGTGAGCGGGTGACGAACTCCTTGTGGTCCGGGTTCACTCCCGGGGGTAGGCAGAAAAGCCACATTTATCCCAGATTTACGGTATTTAAAATGGAATCAAAGCCGAAAGGTTGCGATATCCATAATACCGAGCCTAAGGGTTAACAACTCATGGCTTCTGGATACTAAAACAAACAAATATATATTTGGGGAACAAAGATATCCATAGTCTATACATACCTTTTAACATTTTTGTTTGTTTTTAATTGAAAAAAAAAAAAAAAAACACCGACATCCTAAATGATCTGAGCATTGAGGAGAATTGGCTCACAAACAGCATCCTGTACCAAAAGCTGAGGCAATTTGGCCAGGTTAAACATCATGGTGGCTTGGAGAGAACGGTGATGGAGGGTGCAGTGTCCAGAAAATGAGGCGGAGGGAGACCGTCGTGAAGGTGGATAAAAGGCATTAAAGATGCATTGACAATGAAACACAGAGTTAGAGATTTGGCTGAAGAGAGAATATCAGGCGTGCTGTGATGAGAGTGAAGTTCTGTCAAGCACCTGCTGGTTGGTGATTTGTTTTTAATACTGAATAATGTGAATACTGAAATGTTATGTAAATACCTTAGATTAGGAGAGTAACTTGGGCAAAAAGAGTTAAAGGGACAATTGACATAGAGTGTTGAGCTAAGAACTGATATTACAGCACTTGGAACATTCCTATAAGCAACCTGACAGAAAGTTAGTAACAGTTGGTAAGACATAGTTCAACAATGCTTTGACAGAAAGTAAGTAACAGCTGGTAAGACATAGTTCAACAATGCTTTGAGAGAAGGTAAGTAACAGTTGGTAAGACATAGTTCAACAATGCTTTGAGAGAAAGTAAGTAACAGCTGGTAAGACATAGTTCAGCAATGCTTTGAGAGAAAGTAAGTAACAGCTGGTAAGACATAGTTCAACAATGCTTTGAGAGAAAGTAAGTAACAGCTGGTAAGACATAGTTCAACAATGCTTTGAGAGAAAGTTAGTAACAGCTGGTAAGACATAGTTCAACAATGCTTTGAGAGAAAGTAAGTAACAGCTGGTAAGACATGGTAAGACATAGTTCAACAATGCTTTGAGAGAAAGTAAGTAACAGCTGAGCTGATAAGACATAGTTCAGCAATGCTTTGACAGAAGGTAAGTAACAGTTGGTAAGACATAGTTCAACAATGCTTGCTAAGTAACAGTTGGTAAGACATAGTTCAACAATGCTTTGACAGAAGGTAAGTAACAGTTGGTAAGACATAGTTCAACAATGCTTTGACAGAAGGTAAGTAACAGCTGAGCTGATAAGACATAGTTCAGCAATGCTTTGACAGAAGGTAAGTAACAGCTGAGCTGATAAGACATAGTTCAACAATGCTTTGACAGAAGGTAAGTAACAGTTGGTAAGACATAGTTCAACAATACTTTGAGAGAAAGTAAGTAACAGTTGGTAAGACATAGTTTAGCAATGCTTTGACAGAAGGTAAGTAACAGTTGGTAAGACATAGTTCAACAATGCTTTGACAGAAAGTAAGTAACAGTTGGTAAGACATAGTTCAACAATGCTTTGAGAGAAAGTAAGTAACAGCTGGTAAGACATAGTTCAACAATGCTTTGAGAGAAAGTAAGTAACAGTTGGTAAGACATAGTTCAACAATGCTTTGAGAGAAAGTAAGTAACAGTTGGTAAGACATAGTTCAACAATGCTTTGAGAAAAAGTAAGTAACAGCTGGTAAGACATAGTTCAGCAATTCTTTGAGAGAAATAGTTACAGTAGCAATTATTTGGAGTGAGAGATAAAGTAACAGTTGCCTTGGCCTGAAAAAGTTAACTTTTCTTGAATCTGGACAAAGTCTGAGTATCTTTTTAAAAAAAATGCTACTAACAGGTGCATATTCTTCTTCTTCTCTTCTCTACGTCCTCTTACTGCTTGGGGTATCGAGAGAGATATAATGTCCTGCTTTGTGCTCTTCTGGCTGCTTTAAACACTGACACATTGTGGTGCTGTAGAGTTTCTCTGATGTTATCTTTTCATTTTGTTTTTGGTCTACCTCTTGCTCTACGTACCTCTCCTCTTTTGGTATACACATTGTATGGTATATCAACAGAAGGCATTCTCTCCAAGTGGGCACATTATTTGATTTGCTGTCTTTAATGTTATTTAGAATTGGTTCTATGCCAACTTTATCGCCTGACTTGATCTCTTCTGATTACTCCTACAGCCTTTCTCAGACACCTCATTTCCATGGTTACTACTTTTCTTTTATGTTTTGTTGTGAGTGACCATGTCTGGCACTGGTAGCATAAGGTGAGAATGAATATGCTTTGTATGAGATGTCTCTTTGTGCTGACTGGGATTGCCTTATGCTGTAAGAGAGGGGCTAACTAGTCCCAATATAAGCTTATGCTAGTGGCTTGACTAAACTTTAAAAAAAAGACAGAAAGAAAGAAACTAGCACCTAAAATCATTTGACAACACAGATGCAGGAGACCCAAATAATCATGAATCCTTAAAACTATAACTAAGAAGCCCAGTGATGGGGGGGGGGGGGGGGGGGGGGGGGGGGGGGGGGGGGGGGGGGGGGGGGGGGGGGGGGGGGGGGGCAGCAGAAACATGCCTGCAAATTTCTGCAGAGACAGTTTAAAAAAAAGCACCTAAAATTTAAAAAGTTCCAGACACCAGTCCCATTTTTTTTTTTTTTGTGGTACTTGTCAATGAAGGCCTTCGCTGAAACATTTATTTTTCTGTGATTCTCCCCCCCCCCCCCCCCCCACATTTCATCATCTAGCTTAATTATGGTTCACTGGATTCAGTTGTAATTTCTCCTTGACCTCAGTGACCCCTATCCTCATCACATACAGGAGACAGGAAAATATCAGAGACATTTTGGTCATTAATGTTTAGGGAACAAAACAAAATTAGCAATGGAACAAGAGACTTTACTGCTGCATAAACAAATAGGTAGGTAGTTGTACCCCACCAGGACATCACACAAGCGATAAACACCCGGTGACACAAAGTGCCACCATGCAGATGAGGATCACCCATGGAGAGGTCCCAGAAACCCCTTTCAGCCGTTAGGCCATATCTATGCCCCAGCTTTATTTAGAGCCCCTGGCAGAAGCCAGGGTGGGGCTTCAAATAAAAAATTGCATCTAACATGGGGATGACGACATAGACATTTTGGTCAATAATTTTCAAGGAACAAAACAAAATTAGCAATGGAACAAGAGACTTTACTACTGCATAAACAAATGTGGCATCAGCCATATTTATTTCACCAAAACCTGTACAGGAATGTCATAAACTTAAAAATAATTATTGCTTGTATCAGAGACTTCTACTTGGAGGGTTCTG